ATTGAATTAAAAATTAATCTAACTAATCTATAATTAAAAGTAAACTAATAAACTAAACAATAAGCTAAACTAAAACTAATGAAACTAAAAGTACCTGCAGGAAGCGAAAGACTTCCGAGTTTTTGTGTGCAGTTATAAGCATAACTACGCCTACTTAATTACATATAGTAGATAGATAAGTTTATATATCAGAAGACATTGACATGTGAGACTGTCACCCGACTATGTCCACCGTAGGTTCCACAATATGATCTGTATGAGGACGGTGACCCTCGCGTGAAGCAGTTTGTAGTACTGGTAGTGTAGCATATGGTCTGCCACAGTCATTCTCCTTCATCGCATACAGAAGTTCGATACCAAGATCGATCCTGGGGAATCGGACGCAGTGGTTGACAGGCCTAAATAGTTCGTCAGCAAATGCCACACAGGCCTGATCAACGCACAATGGACTAGGTTTTCACACAAAAAAGCAGGATTCAACTCTGATCCCAAAGGAGTTGAAGTGTCATATGGCAGAGAGGGGGGCACTGCAGACTGAATCTCCTACTGAAAGGATCGATTTAGCTTGTTCGTGGACGGACTTCCGGGCCGTGACTTTTACTCTAGCGAAATAGTTTGAAAACATATCAGATTTATTATGAGTAAAGGATGCGCTGAAATGCCGCCGCGGGGATAGAGTCCGCAGAGTCGGCCTCGCTTTTGTTTCCATCTCCTGTATACTACTCAATCGGTCAACTGATTAATGATGATATTGGGTGCAAGTGATTGACAGCTAAAAAAGCCTATCTATACATACTCCACACGACCAAGCCTATCTCCAAACCCCATGCTTTCCCGCAAAAGGGGCAGGGATCAATTTCGTAGTTGTGAGCGAACATAGGTGCCATTAAAAGACTTTTACAACTTTCGTTTCAACCTGCAACCTCACCTTTGATTCGGAGGTATATTTTCATCGGTTCAGTTTTGCATTCAACACCTTTTACTCGAGTGATTCCTATAAAACAATTGCAGAGTTAAAATAGTCACTAGAATTCAATAATAGCTTGTTGGGACAGTTCATACATATCTGGGCGGTTAGTGCGTCTAGAATTATGCTGTAATTTCATTCAAGTTAGAACAGTACCTATCCTTGAAGGCAAACATATTATGTCACTCTTAGGGTCTTGCTGTGAAAACCCAACTCAATACGCCATCAACACCGCAATTCGGATTATCAAGGAAGTAAACAATGAAAACGGCTCGTTGGATGTATCAAACAGTTTAGAAGATGTCAGTGCAGAACACAGGTCGCCACCTCGGACACCAAAGGTAACCGGATTCATCTTATGCGATACCTCCGGACGACACGTCCTCTTCACAGAGACTGCGGAGAGCCGATTAGCCCGCAAGCTAACCTTTATCTTCTGTGAATTGGCGTCGCAGTACACGCGAAATTGCGTGAAACAGGCACCAAGGATACTTTACAATACGACTCTCAAGTTTACGTCCCATCTTTATACGAAACTGCACGAGCTCTGTCTAAGGGCTCCTCTGCACAAATTTGTGCAACAGGGTCTGCTGTACATTCGGGACCTTGTGCCTGAGCCTGCCTTCCAGGCGCTTACACGACTATATGCTCTCAGTGAACATTGTTTCAGTTTCAGTTTGGCCCTGCGGCTTGACCTCATCCCAGATCCCGCCGGAATTCAAGCTATTTGTCAAAATTTTTGTCTATGGACCACGGATTCATGAAATTTCCCTGCCCGTCTTTTTGTCCAAGACTTTTGTCCAAATCTTGTCATGTGGATTATTGTTCGGTTTATGATTATATATCCAATACCTTCGTTGGCAGTGAAAAATTGATAAATTATGTAAAAAGAGAAATGGAGTGCGTATGTTTTTCCGTATCGGTCAATACCCAGTGTGTAGAAATCAGGCCTCGTGTGACATTCATCATGTCATTGTTATTTTGGATTTTTATTTGCTGTTAACTGAATGTTAGGACTTGGCCGAAGCACGTGTAATTAAACCCGCTTAGTAATTCGCCTTTGTCCTATCCTGTGCTTTATCCCATGCCCTGACCCTTGACCTCGCAGTCCCATTCGGTGACACATGGTGGTCTTTATTCCCGTGTCCTTATTCACCACTCATCGCAGTCTTTGGTCCCCACATCGCCCCCCTCGTTCTTTGATTCCTGCCCCGTATCCTTATTCCCTTATGAGCTGGCAGCAATGCGTCTGCGTCATTCACACGACTGCTCGTCTAAGCACGTCGACTGCATGTCCACCCTCCTTTGGATTTCTACCTGGCTTTTTTACCTATCATGCACGGTTAATCTAACTATTTACTTATATAGAAGCAGACCATATCCGAGTTATCCCGACTGTCTTTTGACATAGCTTCTGACCTCGGCTGCGTCTATTCAGGTAACAAAACTAGCCCTGAACTACAAAAGGCTAAATGATATTTACGCCGGATTAAAGAATGTTTACGTTAAGTTCTAAAATTTCGTTATGAACCCCGAGTAAATTTCGCAGAACGATAGTTTCCAAGTTCTGCATGAAAATTAATTTAAATATTTAGACCCGTCCCTAACAGCTTCAATGGAATAAATGCCTTAAATTCTCAGCATACCCATG